AAATAACGACTATAAAGGACGTAAAATAGTAGAGCGAATTCCTTCCAGAAAAATTTTCCAAACATTCAAGATACCTTTAATCGCTTTGGCAGGTAATGATATGGGTCATAACCTCCGATAATGGAACAACCCGATTTCAAGTGTATTCTACATTTTAACCATATTTTTCGTACTAATTTTACCTTATGTTGATAATTTAAAAAAAAAAAAACATCCTTGCAAGAAATGATCACGTTTTAGTATCACCATCATATGATTTAAGGTATTTTCGGGGTCTTGGCCACTTTTTCCATTTTTTTGGCCCTAATTTGACATCTTTGTTTCTAAGGGGGAAGAAAACCTCTTCTCATAACATTTTTATTTTTTTTTTTTTTTGGGTAAAAAACCCTGAGGTAGAAAACAATCTTACAGATAATTATCCACATATGCATTTATTTAAGTATAGTCCTCACATTAGTATACCCCCAAGTCCACTTTCCCAACCAATGTGTGGTCACAAAAGAAAATTTGGTATTCTACTGAATTTGTAACCCCCAAGAGAATATTGGTTGGGAACGTAGATTTGGGATGTACGTCTATATGAAAAAAACTCCGAAATGTCAATCTGGGACTTATTCAGTCGGAAATTGTGGCAGAAACATGAAAAAAATACGAAATTAGAAAATAACACGAGACCGAACATTTCTTTAATCCTCATTGAATTGATGAAAAATGTGAACTTTATTGGATCTCCATCGCACAATTTAAATGACAAAAAATGTATGCCCAAAAGAGTATTTTTTTGGATATTCTGACAACATTCTGCCTTCAAGTATGAGGTGAACAAAACTAAATACCAAGCAGTACGGGATTTTAAAAGTTGGAAATACAAATTCAAAATTATAGATCATTTGAATGAAAATGTTAAGCTTTTTACAACAATAAAAATTGAGCTGAATTTTCACATTGGGCTATAATAGAAGTTCTTTATCATAAAGGTATTTAACACAAAAATTAATTTCTATTATTCATGGAGTCATTACTTATAATCAAAATTAGAGTCATTATAATGGAGTCATTACTTATAATGAAAATTGTGCCGCTTACATAAGTCAAATCTGTGATGCTTTAAAAAATACGCATTAAAGACTAAAAGTACGGCCGGCAACGCGGACCGGGCCAGCTAGTATATATATAAATGTAAGTTGTGTTAGTTACTACGCTTATAACTCAAGATCCGCTGATCCGATTTTAACGATTCATACAAATTCGGAATTGTCTCTTTTCCGAAAAGGATAATATTCAAAAAAATCGCGTAAACATGTGATATATTAACATTTTCATTTTGACTTTTGAAATGTACAATAGTAATGTTTTATTTTGCATGATTTTTTTTCCATTTTGACTTACTTTTTTCTAATGTACATTTGTAGTGTTTTATTTTTTTATTTTTTTTTAATTCGAAATTGAAATTGATGGCGGGTTGCATGGAAGTCAGTCAAATGATATCGAAATAACTTAACGCGGTTAGACCAATGTTAAAAGATAATTACTTTTTCAAAATCGCTAAAAACACGATAAAAGAGATGTAATGGCAAAAATTCTCAAATCGGGAAAAATCGAAAAAAAAAAATTAATGGAAATTGACTAGATATGGAAATAATCCATCCAATGAGAACTTAAAATGCAAAATTCATTGGGACTGCAACCAGTGAAATACCGAATATGAAGAGCACTGTTATATGCGAACTATATAAAATAGTGGAGCAAATTGAAAATTTGGAAAGAAAAGGATACATTTCCTCGGAAAATTCTTCCGAAACCTTAAAAGTAACCTTAACTCCCATGAAACGTTATACGGTGACTATGCGCTATCATCAGTAGTCAGTTTGGTTGGTACATAACAATCCCAAAAAGGGGGGATCAAACGTTTTTAGGGTCCATTTTATATAGTTTAACCAAACACAAAGGGCCTCAAATATTTTGCTCTATACTTCGCAAAAGTTACCATAGAGTTTTAAATTTTTCCTAGGGGTTTCATGAATAATCAGTTGTTCAAAATATATATCAGATGTATATCAAATGTTGGTAATTTGAGATTTTAAGAAGAACAACACATTTTTTCAAATAATTATAAGAATAGGACCATGCTTTGGTATAACCCTTATATGTGAACCTATTTCTTTCATATTACAATAATCCGCCCAATGAGAACTCAAAATGCAATTCATTGGAGCAAAATGGTGCAAAATGGTAGAGCGAATTGGACATTTAGGAAAAAAAAAAACTTTCAAGATATCTTAAATCGCTTTTGCAGGTCACGATATATGACCCCCGGATAAGGGTACACTCCTTTTTCAAGTATAGTTTACATTTTAACCATATTTTACTCATACGCATTTTAGCAAAAGTTGGTAATTTGGGAAGAAACCATCCTCGCAAAAAATGATCACGTTTTGGTATAACCATTATATAATTTAAGCTATATTCGGGGTTTTCGACATTTTTCTTTCATTTTTCAGGCCTTTATTTGACATCTTTGTTTCTACGGGTGTAAAAAACCTCTTCTCATAATATTTTGACTTTTGGAGTAGAGTCCATCTTGGTCTTGATCACATTCATCAATTGATTTGGCTAAAAAATTGTATTTAGGCTACTCTGGGATAGAGAATCGTCTTACAGATAATTGTCCACATAGGCATTTATTTGAGTATAGTTCCCACATTAGTGTACCCGCAAATCCACCTTCCTAACCAATGTTTGGTCAGAAAAAAAATTTGGTGTACTATTGAATTTTTAACTCTCAAGAGAATATTGGCTGGGAACGTAGATGTGGGATGTACGTCTACATGCTTTGATCTCCGAAATATCAAATTGTGGCAGAAACATGAAAAAATCACGAATATTATTTTTTGGATCGTTATTGAATTATACTATGAAGAAAAATATGGACTTTATGGGTTTTCCAACACACAATTTAAATGGCAAAAATAAATTAATTCCTATCTTAAGGTAATGGGTGTAAAAGACCAATTATCTTTGACTATTTTGAAATCATTCAGATCAGTGTTCTATAATGCCTTAAAAAATATGCATTAAAAACTAAAAGTAGGGGCCGGCAACGCGGACCGGGCCAGCTAGTATTAATATACACCAGAATGAATAATTGTAATAGTCTCATAACTTCCAATACATATTATAATTCCCCAAAAAAATGAATTCAATACAAAGAGAAAATTTGTGTTTCCAGGTCAAAAGTTCAAATTTAAAGGTGTTCACATTTTCGATGTCCTTGTTAAGATATTTTCCTATCGCAAATCCTGCCAATAATTTATTAGGCAATCACTTCGAATGATTCATTGTAGTTCATAAATTTATTTAGTCAAACAATGGTCTAAATGAATGGTGGTGGCACATGGAAAATATATTGCACCAACATTCGAACCTAACAGGGTGTGTATGAGTGTGTATTGAAGAGAGTCGTAAAGGTATGTAGGCAAATATGTAGTCATATAAGTTTAATATGGTCTCGAGCTGGTATCAAAATGTAGTAAACTCAGACGATGCCAAACTGAAAAAGTAAAAAAACTATAAGTTCGGCCTGGCCGAACTTTGAATACCCTCCACCATTTGCATCGAATTTGACAATTTTCAAAAAAAAAAAAAAAAAAATTATTAAAAAAAATATTTGGTAATTTTCAAGAAAAAAAAAATCGGTTAAAAATTTTGTTAAAATCTTAAAAATACTGAATGTAGCCGTATATTAGAGTCTTTACGAGGACATGGACCTGTATAGGCAACTTTTGTCATTAGCTATTACATATATATTCACAAGCGAATCTTAAAAAAATCAGTTTATAATGTAGCTTAAATCATCAAAATTCCGAATATAGGAAGGTACCATGGGAATTATAAAACGTGGACCTGCACAGACAGTTTTCTGTCATAGGCTGTAGTATCCATTACCAACTTCAAATACTAAATTTGAAAAAAAAAAATCCTGGTAAATAATGTCGCTTAGATCATAAAACTACCGAACATCGGCGGTACCGTTTTATGGGGGCTATACGAAGAGGTGTACTTACATGGTCCATTTTCTGTCTTAGGTTGTCGTATTCATTACGAACTTCAAATAACAAATTTGAAACAATTCCGGTAAATAATGTCGCTAAAATCATCAAAATGCGGAATATCGGGAGGTACAGTTATATGGGAGCTATACAAAGGCGTGTATCTGTTCTAACAATTTTCTGTCATGGGATGTAGTATCCATTACGAACTTCAAATGCGAAATTTGGAACAATTCCGGCAAATAATGCTAAAATCATCAAAATACCAAATATCGGGAGGTATCCCTATATTGGGGCTATATGAAGACGTGGACCTACTTGGTCCATTTTGTGTCTTAGTCTGTAGTATTCATTACGAACTTCAAATACAAATTTGAAACAACTTCGGTAAATAATGTCGCTAAAATCATCAAAATATCGAATATCGGAATGTACCGTTATATGGGGGCTATACGAAGACGTGGATCTGCACAAACAAATTTCTGTCAGCCTGTGTTAGGCTGTAGAATCTATTACGAACTTCAAATAACAAACTTGAAACAATTCCGGTGAATAATGTCGCTAAAATCATCAAAATACCGAATATCGGGATGTACCGTTATATGGGGACTACACCAAAACGTGGAACTACATGGCTCATTTTCAATACCAAAAGTCCTGCAGACATGATATATATATGAGTAAATTTTATCAATCTACTTCATTTCGTTCGGAAGCTAGAGTGATTTCCACAGACGGATAGACGGACAGACATCGCTAAATCGACATAGAATGTTATGCTGATCAAGAATATATATATAATTTGTAGGGTCTAAAATGTATATTTCGAGGTGTTACAAACGGAATGACAAACTTAATATACCCTCCATACTATGGGGGAGGGTATAAAAGACATAGAGTGGCCATTTTTATTTACGCTTGTTTTTGTACGCCAAACATATGTCATTGAAATACATTTTTAAATTGCATTTTATTTCCCTTTCTCTTTCTCTCTCTCTCTCTCTCTGTTTCATCTTTAATTGAACATCATACTAAATTCATTCCAATCCTCACAATTGCCCTTGGCATATTCCGTCATGCAGGAGATTAGGTCACGTGAAAATTGACACTTTTCACGACGTCTCTGCGATTCCAAGTAACGAAAGCATTCCTGAATGGTGTCAGTGTAGAAATTTTTCAACTCACGGCCACGCATGTCCTTGGTGAGGCCATAGAGTACCTTATGGCGATCAGGATAGCTGTTTTTATTTAACTGAAAATAACAATGTATTTTATGAGCCAAGTAGTTAATCATAGCCAAATTTTGCTCTTACCATATTCATTTCTTCAAAGAAACAATGGACAATGCAGGCACTGTCCGAAGATGAAGAATTACTGTTGTTATTGTTGCTGTTGTTGTTGCCGCTGTTGTTTATGTTTCTATTGCTATTAGAATTATTATTTCGATTTCTATTGTTATTATTTTGATTATTATTATTATTATTGTTGTTGTTATTATTACGATTATTATTATTATTATTGTTATTTTGATTGTTGCCATATCGTCCGGTTTGTGTGGATCCACCACCTTGATTTCTTTGGTTTTGCGACTGCCATTGATTACTACTCCCTGTATTTGATCTATTGGAATTTTCGGAACGCCCGCGATTGCTTTGATTTCCATAGCGATTTTCGTCATGGTTTCCATTGCCACCACCGCGGTCGTTATTATCATTGTTCTGATTTCTACCACCCCCACCACCACCCGATCCTCTGCCATTATTATTGTAATAACCATTCTGATTACTTTGTTGATAGTTATTTCTTTGTGAATATTGACTGCCACCACCACCACGACCACCATTCTCATTACTATCTCCACCACCCTCATTACTCTCATCACTGTCGTCATAATCACGATAATTATTGTAATTTGTCCTTTGATTGTAACGTCCTTGTGACTGTTGCTGTTGTTGTTGATTTTGTTGCTGCTGCTGATTACTTTGCATATTGAAAACATTTTCACCAAATTTCCTCATACAATTTCGGGCAACTCTTTTCAACTCAGCCTCTGAAGGACCATCGTCGGTGCGACAACGCAAGGCCTCTGTCATCGTTATGAACAGCGATATTGCCATGAATTTCCTAAATGTCAGTTGCCCATTTGCAACAGATTTACTCGAGCGGACCATTGTAGTTTAGCTATCCCACGTCTATTAACTGACATAAATTGTTAAACTTTGTTCGTAATTTATAGCATTTTAGAGGATCGCATTTAGCGTTTTCAAATCAAAGTTTTGTTGTGACAGATGTCATGTTAATGTCTTGTGTCTTTTAAATAGCTTCTAAAAATGATGGATGGATGTTTGTATAATGCAATTATTGTTCAGACAATTGCACTTTATTAAGTAGCAGTCAATTTTGAAGTTTACATCTATTATGCCCTCAGACATATGGCTACAGAGCTTCATCGAAATAACGGTTTTAGACCTGTTGTAAAACAATTGGAGTCAATATATTAGTCTGTCTGGCTGGTACGTACGATAACTCTTGATGGAAGTATCCGATTTCGCCAAAACTTGGTACATTGTAAAATTATTATAACCTTTAGATGAGGATTGGAGAGGGGGCAATTTTTGACCACACCATGTGGCACCTCCCCACAAAAGGTCAATATTTCCAAAGAAAACCGTTTGCCTCATAAAATTGGAAAGAGTCGTCATACTTTTCGAATCCTAATATCCTAAATGGAGAATATCGGCGCACTTCTTTTGTGACTCGTACCATCGGTAGCGTAGCCCGACGTCAAGGAAGTGGACAGAAACAGAAAAAGAAGTGGACAGAAGTAAACAGCAACATGAGCAGAAATGGTTTGAAAAGTAAAGAAGCGACGTGATCGAAACCCGCATCGCAGTGGCCGACAAATGACTCGTGGGCTGAACATATCGCAATATTCCATTCGGCAAATATTGAAAAACGAGCTCGGGTAATGCCATTGAAATTCCAAAAAGTACACGAACTTACACCGCAATAGAAAGAAAATAGACTTAAAAGAGCTATAGAGTTGATTCGCTTGGCCGAAAGTGGTGATCTGCCGAATTTGGTTTTCTCCGAAGAGACAACATTAGTTTTCCAGCAGTTGGCAAACAAACAAAATGATCGTGTTTACTTGCCAAAGAGGTCAGCTGAAAATGTGTACCTTCGGCTGGCCACAGGAACTCAGGCGATGGTGATGGTGTGGGCCGCCATAAAAGCCGATGGTCGCTCTACGCTCGTATTAATCGACCGTGGCATCAGAATAAATGCTTAATAATATCGCGAAAATATTCTGGAGGGTGTATTAAAGCCTTGGGCATGCAAACATGTTGGCCGCAGACCTTGGACATTCCAACAGGACTCAGCACGCGCCACCCAAGAATGGTTACAACATGAGGTTCCTCGCTTCATTTCCAGTGCACAATGGCCACCAAAAACTCTGGATACCAATTCGTTGGACTATTTTGTCCGGAGTAACTTGGAAAGCAAGGTTGGCACTAAAAATACCAAAGTGTCGAGCACCTTAAGCAAGCGTTGTAATGTTCAATAGTTATGTCATGTTTAAAATTGAATTATTTATTTTTCGAGTTCTATATAAAAAAAAAAAAAAAACAACCGTTGAAACTATGATTGTATTAGAAGATGTTAAAGTCCGTAAATTTTATATATGTTTAAAAGCGACGGTGGGAGCCATTTAATTTAGCTAGCAGTCGGGTATGGGGTGGGTTCTTGTCCTTCTAAACACAAGGAATACAATCAGCACATAAACAAATTATTTTATCAGACTCCCGAGGTAAAAACTGTGTTCTAACACATCAGACTAATTATTGAAGCTACGTTAGAAAATGGCAACATCCATGCAAAAAATAAAACCCCATTTGGATGTATATAAAAAAAGTATCAATCACAACAACTCAATGTAAGCTATTTGGATCTGGTGTTATTGATCCACAGGCCTCTGTACCCTATCCCTTCCATGATCTTTTGGCCGTTTACTGTTAAATAAAAGATCCCATACATAGTTATGTTAATAACATTTCCACTCCTCACATTCCCCTTTAGAAATAAATGCCTTAAGCGTTCATGTTAAAATTCATGTAGATACAGAGTTTATTTCAGGGTTCTGTTAATGTATAAACTGGTTTCAAGAATATCGGTATGATTCGAACACCATACATGTTGCAATGCTTAACATCAAATATTATAATGTATATGTATGTATATGCACTAATATAACATAACTAAGCGAAAAATATTGATGCCCTTTGCTTAAGACATATTAGGGAACTTTTTGTATTTCATAATATAATTGCTTTCTTATATGCTAATATGCGTAATTATTTAGTAGTATATTATAATTTTCATCTATTTATGGGTTTGTATTATTTTTTGTGGTGACAAAGAAAGTCAAATTGTCTAATACTTAATTATTTCTGCATTTTTGTTAAGTACTGTAATTAAGAAGCGAGGCAAACAATTTTAGGCTGATAAACAAAATAAGTTTTAACACAATTTAGGTATGGATTACCTTTTGATTAAGTTTCTTTAAGGTAGCAATGAAATTAATTTAAAAATTATTTCTAATCAATTATCAAGCGAAATTATAAAGTATATCTCAGTTATTTATCAATATTCATATATTGAGCAAAAACTCCACTTACCAAAATATTGTTGAGGGTTCTGCTGTCGACAAGGCCTTGCAGATCAGGATAGCTCAGCAATTTGAGGTTATGCATTAAACGTGATGTAACCTTTAAAATTATAATGAACGTAGTTGATAATGTTGCTGAAATATATGGGTATAATTTAGCTTGAATTCACAGAATTGCGATTTTTTTACATGTTAATTTTCTTTTCAAAGCTCCCAACGAAATTTTAGCTAAAATTGTTGCCGTTACTACAACTAAATGTCACTGCTTCCACGACTTAGAGAGCGGTTTTGCCCTTGAAGATAGGATGACGTACAAATTGGTGATAAGATCCTCTGATTTTGATAATGATGGAGAAATATTCAAGGTAGCCAAGGAATAGTTTAGATGGTGGGTGAATTTAGACTATGATGAATCATGGACAGCAAGCTGGTGTTTTCATCTTTTTGAAGCGGGAGAGGATATCACGTTCTTATTGCCCAACTGTCTCCGATAATCTTGGAGAAACAAGGTTAGCTTAGGAACTACTTCTTTGTTCAGGCCACAATTCTTGGACGTAAAGTATAACGTTTTGAGCTGGTGACGTCTTTTATGCAAATTTCCTTTACTTATCGCAATTAAATTCAATTGTTTGAGATAACTTTTTCAATATTAAAATTTGTTAACACTTTACGTCACAATGTTTTTTTTATATCAAAACGAATATCGACCAAAGTTTTCTGCGTGATTGTAGTGAACAGCTCAGGAGTAAAAAATGTAAAAAGAAAGATTTGCCAATGTTTAATGTATACGAAGCCGTTCTTGATCAAAGCAGACAAAATTCACCACTCATTTCAGATGAAGCTCTCGTACTACAAATTGATCTTAGCTACAAAAATAACATTACATTCCTCTTGCTACCCCTTCTACCTAATAAAAAGTGATGATATGCATTAGGCTGTTTTATGGATTAGCAGACAATCAGGTTTTTGGTTGTTGCTTGTAACATACAAAAATGAGGCGATGGAATATTGGTATTGATCGACTAGTTTTTACCCCTGCGGTGCCCTTCTATTCTTTGATTATAAATTTTTATCGAGGTTATTCGTGACTTTCCATAGATTCACCTTGCAATGTGGAAGGAGTTTTAATAATCTTATACTTAATCGATTTATAGTTCGTACAAATTTCTTATAAAATGTTGCGGTAAGAAGTTTACTGACGCAATTTTGTACGTAACTTTTGCAAGATGAAAGGCTAGATGTTCTTGATTCAAGCAATGAATTACCGAACTGATTCTGCGTTTCTCATTTAAAAACCAAAAAAAAAAAAATAAATAAATAAGAAAAATAACCAAGATAAAACATTTTGCTTGAGGTAGGATTCGAACCGGGAACTCCTGAAGCCTGCGTCCGACGGCTATGCTCTAGGTTACTACAGGTCTGTTAGTGGGTGGGCATAACTTATTAGTGATTACCTTCGTTTACTTCCACACAGTCTTAGCTCATAGGTTTAGTTTGCATATTCATCCATGCGGATTTCACCACTAACAAGAGAGGGGTAAAGACAAAATATGTGTAACAGCACGAATATGTCTGTTAGTTAATAACAGCGTCACAACTAATAACAGCTTTACAAGCTATTACAAGAATGATACAGTGGGAACTCTATATTACAGCGTTTCGCCGGGAATGGGCCAATATACCGCAGAGCAGCATTCGGGCGGCGTGTGACGTCTTCATTGATGGTTTGAAGGCCATAATTCGTGCCAAAGGTGACCAATTCGAACAAATCTTAGTACGCATAGCCAAAACAAGCTGAAGGGGTACAGCCAATACCAAATGTAGTACCATTTTGTATTTTACGAACAATCTACGCAGGTGTTTTCAAAACCATCTCCGTATATCAACCTCAGATACCAACAGTGACAATAATATCAAATTTCATAACTTCAGCTCTTGAATTCCCCCCAATACCAAATTTAGTATATTTTAATACTTTGCGTACAATTATAATACACATATTTCCATATCTCAGTTCCAGATACTAACAGAAAACTCAATATCGAATTTTGTCATTCCAGTTCTATTCTTTCTCCCGAAACCCAATTTAGTACCACTCAATACTTTTCCAACAATTACAGTACACATTTCCAGAACCACCTCCATGTCGTAACCTCAGACAACAAAAGTGACATGTATATTCAAATGTAGAATTTCAGCTCTATTCCTTCACCCAATACCCAATTATACCAAATATTTAGTACTTTTCGTACAAAATTTTAGTACACATATCACCATATCTCAATTCCAAATACCAACAGAGAACTCAATATCAAATTTCGAGATTCCAGCCCTGTCCCGTCACCCAATTCCAAACTTAGTACCAGTTATTTCTTTTCGCACAAATATAGAACGCATCTCCGAAGCCACCTCTATATGTCCAGGCTGCATATGAACAGCGGCCAAATTACATTAATGCCAAATTACAGATTTCAAGCAATATCTGTTCATCCAATACGAAATTGTGCAAAATATAGTACTATTTAGTGCTTTTCGTACAATTATGGTGCACATATTTCCATATCACAATTCCAGATACCTACAGAGATTTTAATATCCAATTTCGAGATTCCAGCCCTATCCCTTCACCAAATAGCCAACTTAGTACCTCTTAATACTTTTGAACAATTATAGTACAAATTTTCAAATCTACCTTAACAATCCATCCATATCTTAATCTATATCAAAATTCAGAATTTCAGCTGTATTTCTTCACACAATACTGAATTTAGTATAATTTTGCACTTTTCATACAATTATAATACACACATCTCCGCATATAAGTTCCAGATACTAACAGAGACCTCAATATCAAATTTCGAGATTCCAGCTCTATTCCTTCTCCCGATACCCAATTTAGCACCACTCAATACCTTCCCAACAATTATGGTACACATTTCCAGAACCTCCTCCATATCGCAACCACAAACGCCAACAATGACATGCATATCAAATTTCAGAATTTCAGCTCTATTCTTTCACCAAGTACCAAATTGTACCAAATATTTAGTACGTTTCGTACAAAATTTTAGTACACATATCTCCATATCTCAATTGCAGATACCAACAGAGACCTCAATATCAAATTTCTTTACCCAATACCAAATTTAGTTCTTTTCGTACAACTATAGAACGTATTTCCGAAATCACATGTCCAGGCTGTACATGAACAGCGACCCTAATGCCAAATTACAGATTTCAAGCAATTTCTGTTCATCCAATACGAAATTGTGCAAGATATAGTACTATTTAGTACTTTTCGTACAATTATGGTACACATCACTCCATATCTCAATTCCAGATACCAACAGAGACTTCAATATCCAATTTCGAGACTCAAGCCCTATCCCTTAACCCAATACCAAATTTAGTACTTTCCTTACAAATACATATACGATGCATTTCCAAACCACAGCCAAACCTCAAACTCAGATACCATCAGATATATAAATATCAAATTTCAGAATTTCATCTCTATCCCTTCTTCCAATAATTGTACTTTTCGTACAATTATAGTACACTTTTCTGAAAGCACCTCTTTATGTCCAGGCTGCACATGAACAGCGGCATTAATGAATAATTTCAGATTTCAAGTAATATTTGTTCACCCTATACCAAATTGTACCAAATATAGCACTATTTAGTGCTTTTCGTACAATTATAGTACACATTTCAGAACGCCAATACAGAATTTCAACTTTATCCGTTCACCCTTAACCATTCTGTTCCAAAATTAGTATCATTTAGTAGAGATCGCATAATTAGTACACATCTCCCATATATAAACCCTTCTTTCTAATCTTGGTTCTCATACCAAATTCCAGTTTTTTGCTCTTTCCGTTCACATAATTCCGAATGGTAACATTTTAGAACTTTTTGAAACAGTTAAGTTCGAATTTCCAAAAATCTTTTGGCACGTCGAACTTACACTCCATCCGTGATTCTCAATTTAGGATTCTAACTCATTTGATTTGTTTAATCCTATTCAATCCTGTGAGTCACAATAAAATCTGCAAATTACATTGAAAATGTTTATTTACTTTTCATCTATAAAATTAGGCTTCGTTGAAAATTGTACATAGTGTTTCGTTTTGCAATTATTTTGTGTGCAAACTGTACGTATGAATATAAACATTATCTGGCGTCAATTATATGTGAGGAAATATATGTATGAGTGCACATATAAAATGTTTCATTTTTTAATTTTTCAGTTCAGTTACGCAAGAAACATTGATTATTTAAGGTTTTTGTACTCTGCGGAATGCGAAAGTATCATGAGTTGTCTATTACGAAGTCCTTACCTAATTTATCTCATATTTATATTGTTTAATGCAGTGCTACGCTGCAAAATGGAAATGGTAAGTAAAGAAATAATATGATAAATAAGTGCACTCTTCCAGAACCTGTAAGAATCTGCAAGTTTTGAATTTTTATGCCCTACAAAATGAGTTGGTTATTACAAATACATATGGGAGCTATATCCTTATCTGATCCGATCTCGATAAAATTTGGCAGAGGCAGTAACCCGAAATCGGTTGAAGATATATGAGAGCTATATCTAAATCTGATCCAATTATCACCAATTGCAATAGGGTTCGTCCCTTGGCAGAACAAATATTGTTTGCAAAATTACATCTCAATCGGATAATAAATGCGACCTGCACTTTGTTCATAAGAATACATGGACGGACTCACATACATAAATCGACTCTGAAAGCGATACTATGAAGATCCTCAAAAGTAACTCTAGCACTTTGTTCATAAGAATACATGGACGGACTCACATACATAAATCGACTCTGAAAGCGATACTATGAAGATCCTCAAAAGTAACTCTGGGTTTATCTCGCTTCCTTCTTCATGTTACAAACAAATGCACAAAGACATAATACCCATGCCACACTGTGGTGTAGGGTATATATACCGAATATTGGGAAGTACCATTATATTGGGGCTATACGGAGTATGTACATTTTTGTCATAGGCTGTAGTACCCATTAGGATCTTCATATACGAAATTTGAAAAATTTCCGGTATATAATGTCGCTGAAAGCATCAAAATACCGAACATTGGAAGGTACCGTTATATGAGAGTTCTGCGAAAACGTAGAACAAACTTTATTTGCCTGCTGACAAATTACAAGTGTGTGCAAAATGTTATCCTTCAATCAATTCGTTCCAAAGTTAGCGTGATTACCTCAGACAAACTTTTGAATAGGCAGACGGAAATCGCAAAATCGACTTAGAATATTATGTTGATCCAGAAAATATATAGAGGGTAAGATAAAAAAAAACTACAACAAGGTTAAAGGTCATGATTTTTACATTTTCTTTATTTTATTGAATGGTAGCAAAAAATATCGAAAATAGCATCAAATTTTAGAATAAGTTTAGATTTGTTTGTATTGGTCACCTTTGACACGAATTATAGCCTTTAAACGGCGTGACAAACCTCAGACAAACTTTTGAATAGGCAGACGGAAATCGCAAAATCAACTTAGAATATTATGTTGATCCAGAATATATATAGAGGGTAAGATAAAAAAAACTACAACAAGGTTAAAGGTCACTTGATGTGATCGACACTTTGGTATTTTTTTAGTGCTTTCCAAAATACTCCAGACACAATAGTCCACAATGTTTGCGTGCCTAAGGCTAATACATCCTCCAGAATATTTTCGCAATAATATTCGGCAGTTATTCTGATGCTATGGTCGATTAATACGAGCGGGGAGCCACCATAGGCTGTTATGGCGGTCCACACAATCGCCATGGCTGGCGCTTGAGTTCTGGTGGCCAACCGAAGGTGCACATTTTCAGCTGACCTCTTTGGCAAGTAAACACGATCATTTAGTTTGTTTACAAACTGCTGGACAACGAATGTTTTCTCATCGGAGAAAACCAAATTCGGCTGTTCACCACTTTCGGCCAAGCAAAACAACTCTATAGCTCATTTGAGTCTATTTTCTTTCTGTTGCGGTGTAAGTCCTTGCACGTTTTGGAATTTCAATGACTCATTTTTGAATATTTGCCGAATGGAATATGGCGATATGTTCGGCTCACGAGCCATTTTCGCCCACTGCGACGCGGGTTTCAATCAAGTAGCTTCTTTACTTTTCGAACTATTTCTGCTCTATTTTTCATCTCACCGTGTATATACCTTATGGGATCTACGACGAATATTTAGGGATGTTACAAACGGAATGGAATGGTGGAGGGCATAAAAACCAGGAAAATAATATTTAAAATAAAGACTAGTATCTACTGTTTCCGTCTACTGTTGTAGACTAGGTGCCGTAAAAACGAACATAACTTAAAGATTTTGACAACTCTTGCTTAAAGCCTGGGATGTACTGGTTCTGTAAAGGGAGTTGTAGATTAGGTGCCGAAAAATTACCTTTTCAAACGAAAGTGAATAAGTAAACAATACAATCACATCTGCTGAATAGATATTCTATAAAGTTTAACGGATTACTTACACAAACTATTATAGATTACGCATAAAGACCTCAATGGGTTACTGATTTCGAGCGATAATTTTAAAGGCTAAAGTTTGCGTGTTCTATGAGAAAGAATATAAACAGTAACTTCGCCAGTTAAGAATGGAGAACCAATCCTACCAATTTAATTATAAATTACGCTCTTAACTTTTCCATTCACTAAAGGGACATAATTTTAAGAGAAAACAATCTCTTTCTTCAGATTTTTTTATTTTATATTTCTTATCGCCATTATCTCGTCTCTTTCAGATTCCTTCCGATTTTTGTTACAACGGACAAATAGTTATACAACGACGCATTGATGGCTCTGAAAACTTTTTTCGTCTATGGAATGATTACAAACGTGGTTTCGGCAATCGGAGCGGAGAATTCTTTATTGGCCTTGAACGTCTGCACAAACTCACCAATAGTGGGCCCTACGAATTGTTGGTGGTCCTGGAGGATTTTGACAATGATCGTCGTTACGCCAAATATGATAATTTCATAGTGGCCAGTGAAAAGGAAAATTATAAACTTCATAGTTTGGGTCAATATACTGGTACAGCTGGCGATGCGTTGACCCATCATTTGGGTAAGCAATTCAGCACCAAAGATCGGGATCATGATACATGGGAGGATAATAATTGTGCCGAGATGTGTACTGGTGCTTGGTGGTATGGAAATTGCCATAGTAGGTAAGATAGTTATATGTTAATTTGCTTGTTATGATTTCTTGGCAATTTTTATTTATTTCTAAAGTAATCTTAACGGCAGCTATTTGAAGGGCGTAACTACAAGTTTTGCCAAAGGCATAGTCTGGAGTACCTTCAGGGATTATTATTATTCATTGAAATTTGTTGAGATGTCCATCCGTCCCAAATGAATTAATTTAATTAAAAACAGATTGTTTATTTTACAGCAATCTACTTGAATGATTATCTAAAATAAAACGATATTAGAGGAAAATGCATTGACTTTAGTATTCGGTTTTTGGTATTTCTTATATTTTATGTAAATATACAGAAGTAAGAAGCAGAGGAATACATCATCAGTGTAAACAAGTAAAAAAGCAGTAAGTTCGGCCGGGCCGAACTTTGAATACCTTCCACCATTTGAAACGAATTAAACATTTTTCAAAAAATAAAATCCATTAAAAATTCAGTTAAAATCTTTAAAATACCTAATATCGGAAGGTGCCGATATATAGGGGATATACGATATTGCGGACCTATATAGACAAATCTATGTCTGGGGGTAAAATACTCACAAAGAAATCCTTGTGTAGAATTTCTGACAATTCCGTTGAAAAATGTGGCTAAAATCATAAAAATACCGAATATCGGGGGTACCGTTATATTGAGGCTATACGATATCGTGGAGGTATATATATATATTTATCTTCCAGGGGATAAAGTACTCACAAGGAACTCCTTGTGTAGAATTTCAGGCAATTCCGTTGAAAAATGTGGCTAAAAATACTGAATATCGTAGTGTACCGTTATATGGGGGCTATACGATATCGTGGACCTATGTGTTTATTTTCAGACAGTTCCGTTGAAAAATGTATCTAAAATCATCAAAATACCGAATATCGGGGGTACCGTTATATGGGGGATATACGATATCGTGGACCTATATAGACAATTCTCTTTCAGCGTCTAAAGTACTCAGAAGGGACTCCAGACAATTCCATTAAAAAATGTGGCTAAAATCATCTAAATACCGGATATCGGGGGGTACCGTTATATGGGGGCTATACGATACCGTGGACCGATATAGCCCATCTTCGAACTTGACCTGTCTGCAGACAAAAGACAGATCTGTGCAAAATTTTATCTTCCTATCTTAATTCGTTTTGACTGTAGCGTAATAACAACAGACGGACAGACGGACGAACATGGCTAGAACTGCCGAATATGGTTTTCTCCGATGAGAAAATATTCTCTGTCCAGCAATTTGATTACAAAATGATCGTGTTTACATGCCAAAGATGTCAGCTGAAAATTTGCGACTTCGGTTGGCCTCAAGAACTCAAGCGTCGGCCATGGTGATGGTGTGGGCCGCCATAACAGCCGATGGTCGCTCTCCGCCCGTATTAATCGACCGTGGCATCGGAATAAATGCCGAATATTATCGCGAAAATATTCTGTAGGGTGTATAAGAGCCTTGGGCACGCAAACATTTTGGCCGCAGGCCTTGGTTATTCCATCAGGACGCAGCACCATCGTACTTAGCACGCGCCGCCCAAGAATGGTTACAAAATGAGATTCCTCGCTTCATTTCCAGCGCACTATGACCTCCAAAATCTCCGGATACCGATCCGTTGTAGTATTGTGTATGGAGTGTTTTGGAAACTAAAAAATACCAAAGTCTCGATCACCTCAAGCAAGCGCTTCGCCGGGAATGGGCCAAAATACAGCAGAGCAACATTTGGGCAGCGTGTGACGGTTTCATTTGCCGTTTGAAGGCCATAATTCGTGCCGAAGGTGACCAATTCGAACAAATCTAAACTTATTCTAAAAGTTGATGGTGTTTCCGACATTTTTTTGCTTTCCTTCAATAAAACTTTAAAAACAATGTAAAAATTATGTCATTTGACTTTGTTACAGTTTTTTATCTCAACCTGTATGATTGTAGTGTAGGGTATTATATGGTCGGCCCCACCAACTTTTGACTTTTCCTTTCTGGTTTTTTAATGAGTGGGACACTGACAAATGTAAATGACATGTTCGTCAGCAAACCTCAGCAGGTTGCACCTTTATACGTTTGAAGTTCTCACTGGCAACTCAAACAATAAATAATATTTATATTCCCTTTTAATACAACTTTTCGCACTCCACAAAGTTTTAAATTTGCTTCACAAAAGTTTACAGTTATGCAAAAAATGCAGTACTTAATTTTTTGGATAACTGTAAATACCATATGATCAGTATTCACATGTGAACAAAAGTGGAGACAAATTTAATGCATCCTGAAGAAAGCTTACAAGACATTTTTTTCGATCAATACTTTAAAGTTTTCAATAATTCCTCATGACACATTATTTGATTTCAGTCAAAAAAAAAAAAAATCTGATTATCTACAGCTGCCTTGTTTAGATCCTCATATAGTAAAAGGTAAGTGACATATCAATACCAAAATGTAGACTCTTTCGAATAATTCCCATTAAAAAAATTCTGCTACGAGACCCTCGCTTTTGGCGATTTTTGGCCACAGTCGTTACACTGAAAATTTGCAAAATTTTGCTGACAAATTTTCTTACGAAAGAGAATAAAATTCACTCAGATTCTGAGAAGGAAATTTCTGAGTAATTTTTGTAGGTAAATTAACTAGGCAATCCTAGTTATACCTCATATATGTGCCATTCCGTCTATGTTTGTACATCAAAATGGTAAAATGTATTTGCCAAATCAAATCCATTGCAAAAATGTTTATCCGCAAGACGAAATTCATGATTTAATCTCCAATTGATTAAAGCATTTCAATCAATCATTGATTTGTTGCTGTTGTCATTGCGCCATATTGGCATTGGGAGCTTTTTATTGCTGTCATTTAACATCCGTTTGTCAAGCCAACCGCCAAACTGAACTAGAACCGAATGAAAGTGAAATGACAACGAAATAAATCGACAAAATACAGGCTGGCACTACGGAACCAATATCAAATTGAGCAAAACAACACTTGAAAATCGTTGATGATTTTTCTTGTTGGATTTCGCATAATTTTCTCATTTTTCATATACATAGGTATTTGATGCAGAAATAGAAAACCCACTTCATTGGTTTCGGGAGCGGGATACAGAAACAGGAAATCGAAAATGACAGATACACCGCCCAACGAAGAAGTAAAATGTTTTTTTTTTGTTTTTTTTTGTTTTGTTTGTTTTTGTTATATCAGTGAATTATGATGAAATAAAGAAGCAGTACTTGGAGTAATTTTTTATGGATAATTTTTCATGTTGTATATAATCGTCGTTCTTATTTTGTTTCTTATCGTAAAAATGCCAGAGATTAAAGATAAATCTTAAAAAGAATATTCTATACATTTTCCTAAGGAAATGTGGAAACTTCATTAAAGATAAGCATGGAGCTTTTGTTTATAGCATGCACTTGAAATAAATAGTAGCCACAGTATAAATAACAGTAAATTAAAGTATACTTTTAGGATGATATTATTAAAGATGTCAATTGGACAGTATCTAGTTAAGAAGTGATTACCGCTTTCAGCAAAGTACGCAATAAAAAAATAAAACACATTGAGTGCGTAAATGTCAATACTGAGCTGAAACGCTTAGCACTACAATAAAATACCAGAATTTATCCTGCCACCACCGCATCGGCTTGACCTAATTGGATAAATTAAACGTTGTATCAAATTCGACATTCTATATGTCAGAGAATAGGTCGTAAGCTTTTTCGTTAAACGGTAAGTACATGGACGCAGGACCCTTCCGCGAACTTAAAAAAAAAACTCTTAATCTCAGAAATTGTTAGACCTTTTAAATTGATATATATTATATCAAATCTATATATAATAAAGAGAAGTAAACTAACTGACTGGCTGACCGAAACGGCTAAAGCTAAAAACTTGAAATCTAAAGGGGTACGAAACATTTAATAAAAATTATATACTTTGTATTGTATAAACTGAATGTTCTATATTTGAAGATAAAATTTGGAACGAGAGTTACTGCTAGACTTCAGGATAGATGTAAAAAAGTTTTATGGAAATTCTTACATTATGGTTACAAAAAGTACTAAAATTGTACTATTTGGAATTATGTGAACGGATAGAGTTAAACATTTGAAATTTTGTTTGCGATTCCAGGTTGGAGAGTAAATTAGATATATGAAGGTGGTTTTAAGTGTACGAACTGTACTAAATGGAATAAATGGTTTAGAGTACAAGGTGAGATGAAAAACTGCAACCAACTTCAGACTGCTGTCATTTCTAAGCCACTCGTCCGACAGCTTTTAAAATTAAAAAAAAATAAAAAAAAGTTATTCGTGATGGAATTCAAGCGGGATAGTGTGATTTCTTTATGTTTGGCTGGAAAACCACAAGTGGCTATCGTTAGGGCACTCCAGCATTTATATGTGAATAAATCGTTTGTGTTTCATACCATATCTCGTTACCGTGATACTGGTAGCATAGCCCGACGTCAAGGAAGTGGACGGAAGAAAACAGTAACATCAGCAGAAATGGTTCGAAAAGTAAAGAAGCGTCATGATCGAAACCAGTAGTAGCCGCAGTAGACGAAAAATGGCTCGTGAGCTGTACATATCGCAATATTCCATTCGGCAAATATTGAAAAATTAGCTCGGGGTAAAGCCATCGAAATTCCAAAAAGAACTTACACCCCAGAAAGAAAGAAAATAGACTCAAAAGAGCTAAAGAGTGGTTTCGCTTGGCCGAAAGTGGTGAACCGTCGAATTTGGTTTTCCCCGATGAGAAAACATTCCTTGTCCAGCAGTTTGTAAACGAACAAAATGATCGTGTTTACTTGCCAAAGAGGTCAGCTGAAAATGTGCACCTTCGTTTGGCCACCAGAACTCAAGCGCCGGCCATGTTGATGGTGTGAGCCGCCATAACAGCCGATGGTAGCTCTCCGCTCGTATTAATCGACCGTGGCATCGGAATAAATTCCGAATATTATCGCGAAAATATTCTGTAGGATGTATTGGGCATGCAACGTTCTGGCCGCAGACCTTGGACTTTATTATCCGATATCTTGGCTATTAGCATCACTGTAATGTCAGAAGTGACCTTTTAATGTATTTGTGATTTCGCAGTTTTATTGGAAATTTTCGTATTTTTATGCCCTCCACCATAGTATTATTAAGTTTGTCATTCCGTTTGTAACACCACGAAATATACATTCTAGAGCCCACAAAGTATATATATTATTGATCAGCATAAAATTCTATGTCGATTTAGCGATGTCCGTCCGTCTGTGGAATTCTGTGGATAGAATTGAAGTAAATTGAAATTCTGTGGATAGAATTGAAGTACATTGATAAAATTTTACTCAAATGTATGTTATGTCTGCAGGACTTTTGGTGTTGAAAATGGGCCATGTAAGTTCACGTTTTGGTATGACCCCCATATAACGGTACCTCCCGATATTCGGTATTTTAATGATTTTAGGAACATTATTACCGTTTTTTATACCCTACACCACAAGGTGGTCAGGGTATTAGTCTTTGTGCATTTGTTTGTAACATGGAGAAGGAAGCGAGAAAGACCCATAGTTACTTTTGAGGATCTCCATAGAATCACTTTCTGAGTTGATTTATGCATGTCAGTCCGTCTGTCCATGTATTCTTATGAACAAAATGCAGGTCACATTTATTATCCGATTGAGATAAAATTTTCCAAACAACATTTGTTTGGCCCAAGGACGAAGCCTATTGAAATTGGGTATAATCGGTAAAAAATTAGATATAGTTCCCATATATATCTTCATCGATTTGCCTTTTATTGTGCATCAAACGTCTAATATTTGGGATGGAATTTGGCACATACGACCGATTTGAGTCTAAAAGGTAGTATGCCAAATTTGGTGAAGATCGGTTCAGATATAGTTATAGCTCCCATATATTGTTCATCCGATTTGTTGTATTTGTTACCAACAGCCGTAATATACACTCCGTAACAACGATATTCAGGGAAATATATCAAATGCACCCCAAAAATATCTTTGCCAAATTTTATCAAGATCAGTTCAGATTTGGATACAACTCTCATATATATCTATATCTGATTTCAAATTAATTTTGCCCCAAATGGGCAATACAAGTCCGAATTTAAAAGATACAAATGCTTCGGCATATTTAGTTCTTTGAACTTTAAATTATAATTATAATCATAGCGTGTATGATTGAATTTTCCCATAAAAATTTTTAATTGTTATGTGGAACTCTACTAAATTAGCAAAGTGGTTTAGGATATCATAAAGTCGCCCCGCCCGACTTTTGGACATTCTTTACTAGTTTTAAGTTACACATTTGAATATTGTAAGGGCTTATGACAAATGTTACCTATACAGGTCCATGTCGTCGTATAGACCTGAATATAAGAGCTACATTCGGTATTTTTAAGATTTTAACAGAATTTTTAACGGAATTTAATGTTTTTCAGAATTGCCAAATTCGTTCCAAATGGTGGAGGGTATTCAAAGTTTGGCTCGGCCGAACTTACAGCATAAAAATTATGGTTTATTTTACCCACTAAATATTTTCCGATTACCAGCCAAATTTTTTGTGCATTTTAAGTACTTAAATGAAATGGATCTAAAATTTTAAAGTTGACTTTCCGCGAACGATGTAGTGGGCACTTGCTAGTATAGTATACAATATACAACTCTAAATACAATATACAACTCTTTATTGCATTTTTTGGTGTCTGAAATATCGGTCACAACCTGTAATTGCTGATTCCATTACAAAATTATTTTTCGATGACAGAAAAACAAGCTGGCGCAAAAGTAATTCTCCTATCAGAAAATGCTATAAATTTTACTATTGCCCCGGAATGTCTTAATTACAGCCAAAAATCATCGGAATGTCTGTCAAGTACATATGCATGTAAAAGGTGTCGCAAAAACCTCCGATGTTTTTTGGCTGAAGGGGCCAATCGTAAAATTTATACCATTTTCTGATAGGAGGATTAATTTTTCGCCACTTTTTACTTTTGATTGTTTGTTTGTAATTTATGAACTCAAAACTTGCTGAACAGATTTTCCTATATTAATTTTTGAATTTCTAATTGGAACTGAAGATATAGCATGAGAATTGGAGGTACCTCCAAAAAATTTAGATTTTGTAGGTACATATCTTTTGATTGGTTACAGAAAGATACAGTCTTCAAATTTAGAATATTTAATGGAAATAAGTACAAAAATATTTTTTTTTTTTGTAAATTGTATTAAAATCGTTTCAGAATTAGATATTTTCGGCCGATTTCAGAAATTTGATGCACCAAACTCGCTATATATTTCCAATTTCAATGAAATTTGGAATATATAACGGAATGGGGTCTACTCATAAATTTGTTAAATTAAATTAAAATCGGTTCAGACTTGGATATAGCTCCCATTTATATTTTCGAATCAAATGCGCTATGTATGTATCTCCAATTTCATTAAAATTTGGAAAATCAACGGAATTCGGTACAAAAATTATTTTGCCAAATTATATTGAAATCGATATAGCTCCCATATATATTTTCGGTCGATTTCATGTATTTGATGCACCAAACAAGCTAGATATCTGCAATTTCAATTAAAATTGGAATGTGTGACGAAATTTGGTCTAAAATAAATTTTTGCAATTTATGTTGAAACCAGTCCAGATACGGATATTATTTTATAAAGCAACATGGTCATACCACGATTTTGCTTTGGTACTAGATTAACAGTAAAAAAATATTCGTATATAAAATTGTTAGTGGATATAAATGCAAAAATACCTGTTTCAGAGACGGACGATTGTAATTGATAACAAGTTAATTCATTGCGGGAAAAACATATGTTAAATTGCAAAACTCATATTTTCAAAAATTGTAGTCGGGGAAATACGTTACGTTTAATTATCTCACTTCTTTTGGTACTTCCCACAGAAAAATTTGATGAGTTATTAAATGATGCCCAAATGAGACAGATGATGTTTTTATTCGTGACTATTGATAGAGAAAGCTTCTACTGTATGTATGAATAACCATACATATTGGAATGTCTTATCAATTGTTGATTTCAGTTCGTAAATTGTGTCTATGGTTGACGGTTCAGAAAGCACTTATTAACATGAAAAATATTAAATCTTCTCCAAATTTTATTTTCGTTATATTATTTTATTTAAATATTTTGGATCAAAGCAATATGGAAGTGGTAAGTTATAGAAATTTTTGGCGGCAAACTGAAAGTGAATATTAAAAAATTTACTTTGAATACTTAGCAAATCCATCCAAATGAAATGAGATTTTGTTTGCCAAATCGAATCAGTTCTCCACTATTTCTTATACGGCTATTGGGATTGATCTCAATGTTCTTTGCAATAATGCAAGCAAAAAGCAATAATGTTTTAAAATCTCAAAATGTTACGCTTTGAAGACTCTGAATAAATGTTCTTCAAAACATAAAATTGTTGCGGTTGATTACGAGATGCAATCTAGACTATATACTGATAAGAATGTAGATCACGTTTGCTTGCCACATTGTTTTTCAGAAACATGGTCAATAAATAATTTAGTGTCCTACAGCCACTCAATGAATAAAGACGTGTTTATCAGCCACTAAAAATGATGCTGAGTCAGAAAGAGACTTCAGCACAGAAGACTGTGGTGGCGGTGAACACACTTGCCGAGGGGCTTCGTATCTGAGATTTTTATAGAGAAGGGGTGAGGCTATAAGTCCATGAATCGGTGAAATGGAGAAAGGACTCAACCATGTTGCAGGCATTGCACGACTCCTGTATGAAGTTGGGCACAAGATGAAGAAATTTGGAAAATTGTTTCCCATGACACCAGCTGAGAGAAAGTTCCATGCTAATAAATTGAGAATTTTCCGGTTCTGTCTACAAAAAAAAAAAAAAATAAATAAAAATAACAGGTGCCAAATTTGCAATGCAAGGCATCATACACTACTGCATGTGAGCGAGGCCTTAGCGCGAGAGACTAGTGATGCTTTGAGTATTAAACGGATAACCGTTGACGATGGAAATAAGAGTATATAGCTATGGAAATATCTGTGTCTAATAAAGCGGTAAATGGCGGAACTACGAGAATGAAGTAAATGCGGTATCCTACAAAATCAGGTGAAGGAAATTACATGTAGTAAGAATACAGAGAAACCACGTCGTAAGATCTTAGAAGAAGGATATAGAAGTAATTTCGAAGGATCTTCTTCTTCGGAGGACGAAGCCCGTAAAGCAGTTGAAAAAGAGTGTAATCAGTTTGATGCGAAATAGTCAAAAATTCCATCAAGGACGAAAGAGTTCTGGAAGGAGACACCATTACCAAAGTAATTAAACTTAAGAATCCAATCCTGGAGACTAAAAAAGGCAGGTATCAACCACTGAAGAATCTAAATGGAACCGTAACCATTTTGAAGGAACCATTAAATAGGGCTATACAAAGACTTGGTCTTGCAAATACAATTTTTTGTACCTTTATATGGGGGATATACGACATCGTGGACCGATATAGCTGATATTCGAACTTGACCTGCCTGCAGACAAAAGACTGATCTGTGCAATATTTTAGCTTCCTATTCTAAGTTGTCTTGACTTTAGCGTGATTACAACAGACGGACGGACGAAAAGGGCTAAATCATTTATTTAATTTTACAATTTTAAGAAGAGGAAAAATAGGACATCTTCATGTGGGAATGAAAGAAGTGAGTAATAAGTAGCCCAAGGCCCATAAGAAGAAGCCACCAAATGGAAATAGTACAGTTAGCAAAAGACAGTCAGAAAATTATGTACACATGCAACGCTGAAACAATAATCTACTCACGGTCCGAAAGATGAAATTGCCAGATAAAGAAGACATAATTGGTATCAGAAGGAAGAAAACGACCCTTGAAGAGGGTACAATCTGGAAATTGAAGCCGACAGACAAAGAAGGTGGGAGAGATGGGCTGGAAAGATGAAGGAGCTACTATTATTTAGACAACTGTCTCTTTTTAGATTTTATTGCATTTTTATAAAAATACAAGTTTTTGATTATTTTAAAAATGAACATGTTTTGAAATAATTTTTTTTTCTTTTTCAGATTCCAAATGGTCTTTGTGAATCAGATGACATGGAAGGCTTGATACGATGGTACAGTGATGTTTATAAATTTGTAAAATCAAATAAAGACTTGAATAAACGTTTAAATGAATTAGAGAGTGAAATGAAAGTTCTTAACCGAAAACTTGAGGAGCAAAACGAAATTGTCATTCAACGACGCATGGATGGCTCTGAAAATTTCTATCGCAATTGGGAAGATTACAAACATGGTTTTGGCAATCGAAACGGAGAATTTTTCATTGGTCTACAACGCCTACATAAACTCACCAATAGTCGACCCTACGAGTTGCTGGTGGTGTTGGAGGACTTTGATGACGATCGTCGTTATGCCAAATACGATAATTTTGTGATAGCCAGTGAAAAGGAAAACTATAAACTTCAAAGTTTAGGTCAATACAATGGCACAGCTGGTGATTCATTGACCTATCATTTGGGCTATAACTTCACTACAAAAGATCGAGACAATGATATAGACAATAATAATTGCGCCCAAATATTTACTGGTGCTTGGTGGTATAAAAACTGTCATGCCAGGTAGGTGAAAACCTCAGCCATTTTCCACATTGTGTTAGAGTCATATGTAAAGTGATTTTTTGACACTTTCAAAGGAACACTTTTGAAGCAGACTTTTAAACGCACCAAAAATAATTTAAACTTAAACGAAACGCTATACTTTATAAATGATATACAGTGTAATGATATATAATATACGAATATTAGATTTATATTACACTTGAACAATGAATATATTTATTTATACTTTACTACAAAATATTTCTTTTCAGTTAAAAAATGTGTAAAGCACTTTAAAATATGTCATAAAAATGTCTAACATAAATGTATAAAAAATATAGTTACATAGGACTCTAACATTATGTGTATACTAACCTTTAAATGTTATTCTTTTTCTCTTCTACAGTAATCTAAATGGCAGCTACTTAAGAGGCACAACCACAGCCTATGCCAAAGGAGTTGTTTGGAATTCCTACCGGGGTCATTATTATTCATTGAAATTTGTTGAGATGTCCATACGTCCTAAATGAAATGGTGTTTATTTATAAAATTTCTAATTTAATGTAAAACTACTACATATTAAGTTTGTTGCTTCTCTTATAAGTCATCGAATAAGTCATTTAAGACTCTTTAACAATTTGAACTTGCTGATCCACACTGCGTTACTGAGCCATAGTTTCTACAGTCAATATAAAAACTTCCGGTTTCCATGGTTTAGAATGTTTGTTTTGTGGGTTATTGCTACAGTTTTTTCAATCCATTGTGTAAGGGGGGGGGGGGGGGGCAGTATTTATAATGAATGTGGGGAATTTTGCATATACCCTTGTATCGCCCCTTCATTTTCTAATCTTTTTATTAGTATACAGGGTAAGATGAAAAAACTGCAACCAACTTAAGGCTGCTGTCATTTCTAAGCCATTCGTCCGACAATGATGGAATACGAGCGTGATAGTGCGATTTCTTTATACGGGTTGCCCATATTCGACGGATCCATCTGGCAACGCCATAACTTTTGACAGAGATGTCACATCGCTTAATGACATACCGCGTTTGAAGCGTCAGTCCAAGCAGATTTTTACCATGAACCAATACACGCCACGCGAGCCCTCTGAAATAGTTGAAATTTGCATTCAACAGAATAAGTCAATTGTAAAAAAAATGTGAGAAGTGCGCCTTCTAAGAACACCATTAAGCGTTTATACGAAAAATTTTCGACTGGTAAGGCTCTTTCTAATCCGAAGAGGCCATATAAAAGTCGACCAAGGCGATCGGCCGAGAATATCGCTGCCGTACGAGCCAGTGTTGAGAAGTCTCCAAGAACATCCCAAAAACGCCGTTCTCAGCAGTTGGGCATGGCTCGGTCCACTTTACAACGGGTTATTCTCATTGATTTGCATTTGTTCCCATACAAAATTCAATTGACGCAAAGAATGTTGCCTGCGGACAAGCCTCGTCGATTGGAATGGGCTCAAAGGTCCGTCGAATATGGGCAATCCTGTATTTGGCTGGAAAACCACAAGTGGCTATCGTTCGAGCACTCCAGCATTTAAATGTGAATAAATCTTTTGTGTCTCGTACCATCGCTCGTTACCGTGATACTGGTAGGGTAGACCGACGTCAAGGAAGTGGATGGGAGAAAATAGCAAAATCAGCAGAAATGGTTCGAAAAGTAAAGAAGCGACTTGATCGAAACCCGCTTCGCAGTGGCCAAAAAATGGCTTGTGAGCTGAACATATCGCAATATTCCGTTCGGCAAATATTGAAAAAATGAGCTCGGGGTAAAGCCATTGAAAAGGCAAAAAGTGCAAGAACTTACACCTCAACAGAAAGAAAATAGACTCAAAAGAACTAAACAGGTCTCAGAACCATCGCACTCAGCACGCGCCACCCAAGAATGGTTACAAAATGAGGTTCCTCGCTTCATTTCCAGCGCACAATGGTCACCAAAATCTCCGGATACCAATCCGTTGCACTATTGTGTCTGTAGTATTTTGGAAAGCAAGGTTGGCACTAAAATATAGATTTTACCAGAATTTTAAGGGATTTATTTATTTTTTATTTTTTTTTTTTTTTTTTTTTTGAAAATTGCCAAATTCATTCCAAATGGTGGAGGGTATTAAAAGTTTGGCCCGGCCGAACTTACAGCTTTCTTACTTGTTAAATATTTTAAGTCATTTTGATTACTCTTTGTCACTCAAACAGTGGAACACAATATACAATGTATTCAGTAACTTCTAGAACATAGGTCTTGTTGATTCTATGGAATACAAACTATCCGACCACAACTTGATTTCTTGCAAAATTATTTGTGACTACTTCCAGCGAAAAAGAACGCCTGGGATGTTCGTGAAAAGTTCGGGTTTAGGATCTCCATCAGAATCCAAAGAATTGTTGGCCGTTTTTAAGTGAGCATTTGGGAAGAGTAACTTATTCAGGTATGAAATGGGCTACTGATGCTGGTGAAAATGTAAGTAATACCGAAATGTGTGCAATATTCAATAACTTCTTCACAAACATTCCAATAGTTTTAAAAGAGAAAATTCAATTTCGTCTCGGTAATAACTTAAACTCAGAGTTCACTTATTTTTCAATTTTTCAACAACGAATAAAGAGAGAACATTTTAGAAATAATTTTAAAAGTGCCATCTAATACATGTCTTGGTCGGCGCCGCCCGACTTTTGTCCTTTCTTTACGAGTTTCATTATCCGGATTTGGAGAAATGCGTTTAACAGTTGATACATCGAATTATTTACTGTCAATATAAAATATAAATATATTGTATGATGCCCAAATGAGGCTAAAAACGATATTTTCTTTTAATTCGTGATTATACGAGTAGAGAAATCTTGTATTGTATTTATGAAAACCTATGTAGGTATATAAATATGAATGTCTTATCAATTGCTGATTTTAGTTCGTAAACTGTACCGAGTGTTGTGGGTTCAAACAACGCTGATAAATCTATATTTATAAAAGACATGAATAAAATTAATACTGCTTTATATTTAATATTCAATGTATTATTATATTTTAATATTTTCGATCGAGGCTACATGGAAGTGGTAAGTAATAGAACCAAGTCAAAGTGAATTTTAAAAAAATTCAATATAAATTTAAGTACTTAAAAATCCCGCCGATTATTGCTCAAAACGTACATGAAACATTGTTGGTTAAAAGAATTCTCACGAAACTTTTTGAAAACAAGTAAAAAAGCAGCTAAGTTCGTCCGGGCCGATCTTTTAATACCCTCTACTATTTGGAAAAAACTTGAAAAATTTCAAAAGATTCCGGAATTAAAAGATCGGCCCGGACGACTACCACTTGAATGAAAACGGTTATATAGAGACTATACGAAGACATGACCTGCTTACCCATTAAGGAATTTCAAATATCAAATTTGAAACATTTTCGGTAATTAATGTCGCTAAAGTCATGAAAATACCGAATGTCGGGATGTACCGTTATATAGGGGATATACGAAGACGTGGACCTTAATTTTTTCCATAGGTTGTAGTAACCATTAAGATCTCCCAATACGAAATTTGAAACGATTCCGTTGAATAATGTCGCACAATTCATAAAAATACTGAGTATAGGGAGGTACCGTCATATGTGGGCTATACGAAGACGTGGACCTGAATACAAAAATTTTTGTCATAGGCTGTAGCACCCATTACGAACTTTAAATACGAAATTTGAAATAATTCCTGTAAATAATGTCGCTAAAATCATGAAAATACCGAATATCGGGAGCTACCGTTATATGGGGGCTATACGAAGACGTGGCCCTTAATACAAAAAATGTTGCTAATAGGTTGTAGTACCCATTACGAACTTTAAATATGAAATTTGTAATAATTCCGGTAAATACTATCTCTAAACTCATGAAAATAGCGAATATCGGGAGGTACCGGTTTATGGGGGCTATACGAAAACGTGAACCGATATGACCCATTTACGAACTTAACCTGCTGGTAAACTACTTTGTAGAGTCTATTATGAATATTTCGAGGAGTTACAAACGGAATGACAAAGATAATATACCCTCCATAGAATGGTGGAGGGTATAAAAATTAGACTCTGGGAAAATATCACTGATGGAGTGCAGAATAAATGCATCAAAAGGAAATTTGGAAATTCGAACTTTAAGGTTACAAAAAGTTATAAAATGGTAGCATTTGGTATTGGTATTTTGTCGGAAAAAGCTTAAAACTTGAAATTTGCTTTGAGAAGCCATGATGGAAACTAAGCTTGATAAATGTAGGTAGTTTTGATTCAGAAATATTTACTATAATTGTACGAAAAATTTAAAAAGTACGAAAAAAAGTACTATATTTCGTATTGGGTGAAGGGATAAAGATGAAACTCTGAAAATTGTTGTTTAGATTATTGATGGTATCTTTGTTTGAAATTTGGCGGAGTTTTGGAAATGCATCCTATATTTGTATGAAGAGTACTGAATGGTACTAAATGTGGTATTGAATGAAGGAACAGAGCTGGAATCACGAAATTTGATATTGAGGACTCTATTGGTATCTAGGATTGAGACATGTTAGGAAATTATACTATAATTGTTTGAATAGTACTAAATTGAACTAAATTTGACATTGGGTAAAGGAGTAGAGCTGAAACAGTGATATTGCAAATGAGTACTATTATTTTTCAAAAAATACTAATTTTGGATCAGTGTTGGTGTCTAGGCTAGAGAGATATATATTGTTTTGGATATGCGTATTAAATGTTACTAAATTATGTATTGGGAGAAGGGATAGAGCTGAAATTTCATTTCAACAGGTAACTGTTGGTTTCTAGGGTTTATATATGGAGACGTTAAAATAGCTTTGCAATGGTCCTCGATAATCTTCAAGGAATCTTATATATGAAATCGTTATAGTATGAAAATTTAGTATGATGTAGGAAGTTTTGTGGACAAGGGAGAAACTTGTCCCCTGTTATCGGGTTGCTTTGTGATGAAAACTTTGAAAACGCTGATGCACGTGTCTTCTATTTTTAGCTCTATTTTCATAATCTTTTTATACCCTACAACACTATGTGTTGGGGGTATTATAAGTTTGATTGGGCCAAAAATTATGTAACACCTCGAAATATTGGTTTCCCACATAGGAAAGTATATATGGATCTTCCCATCTCGCCGGGATGAGTCGATCTAGCTATGCATGTCCGTTCGTCCGTCTGTCCATGTTAATTTGTAATCAAACTACAGGTCGCAATTATGAACCGATCCTCATAAAATTGAAAATGTAGGTGGGGTTTAGGTCAGAATAGAACCCTATTGTTTTTGGAGATGATAGGGGTTAAAATGGACCAAAAACAAAAACTTTTCTTGATTTTGCAGTTGCTCTATAGGCCACAATTATGGCCCAATCGACGCGAAAATTTACATGGAGTTAGAGTTTAGAACTGGACAGAAACCTACCAATTTGGGCGGTCAGCGGACAATAATTAGCGGCTAAAATAGACCCTCACTTTTATGTAAGAAAATAGAAAATTTTCCACTAAACCGCGAATATTTTTAATCCCAAATCACAAATACATTAAAAGTTTCCTTCTGGCCATTACAGTGATGCTAATAGCCAAGAAATCGAATATATACCAAAATAGGTACAATATATATGTAAAAGAATTGATTTTATTTATTCTGCTTATAAATCAATAGCCGCTGGGCCGATTTTAACAATTCCCATCAATTCGGAATGGTCTCTTGCTAGAGCATAAAATCTAAGAAAATCGTGGAAAAATACACCAACAAATAAGTGAATATCTTTTGTTTTATTTTTTTTTTTAATTTTTTTCATATTTTTCATCGCATGCGATTTTTTCAACTTGACTTACATTTTTGAATTGTAAATTTTCCAAATTTTTACACCTTCCAACACTACGTTCTGAGGGTATTATATGCATGTCGCAATTATCGTCCGATCCTCAAGAAATTTTGCATTGGGGTAGAGTTAGGGTCAGAATTAAAGCCTATTGTTCTTAAGATGTAAATTTAGAAGATCTTTGTAGTCGCTCTATAGGCCACAATTGAAAACTAATCGACACGGAATTTCACATAAGAAGAGAGTTAAGGACAGAGAACAAGTCTAGCATTTTGGATGACCATTGGATTATATTAAGCTGTAAAACGACCCACAATTTTCGTGTGAACACTTAATAAAAACACTACGGAGTGCGTAAATATATAGGCAAATTCTCCGTGTCAAAACGTAAGGGCTAGAGGTAACCCTCTCAGGGCTCTTTGACATTATTTCAAAAACGAAATCTTCCAAAATGGATTTGGATATAAGGGGACTTCGAACATATTGTAGTGTTGTAGGGTATCACACGACTATAACCTTTGCTTACTTGTTATTATTTGTGTTGTACAAAGTTATTAATCTGTTACAATGAGAGAAATTATGAAAATGGATTTTTCTTCCTTTTTCAGATTTCCACAGGTGTTTGTGAATCAGAGGACATGGAGGGCTTGATTCGATGGTACAGTGATGTTTATAAATTTGTAAAATCGAATAAAGATTTGAACAAACGTTTAAATGAATTAGACGAAAAGCTACAAAAAATCGAGAGTCAAATGGAACGTCTTAACCGAAAATTTGAACAGCGAGAAGAACGCATGAATGGTGAAATCGTTATCCAACGCCGTATGGATGGCTCCGAAAATTTTTATCGCGACTGGGAAGATTACAAACATGGTTTTAGTAATCGTAGCGGGGAATTTTTCATTGGTCTACAACGTCTACATAAACTTACCAATAGTCGACCCTACGAGTTATTGGTGGTGATGGAGGACTTTGATGACGATCGTCGTTATGCCAAATACGATAATTTTGTGATAGCCAGTGAAAAGGAAAACTATAAACTTCAAAGTTTAGGTCATTACAATGGTACAGCCGGTGATTCCCTGACCATTGGCCATTTGGGCTATGGTTTCACAACTAAAGATCGAGACAATGACATAGATACTCGTAATTGTGCCCAGTCCTATAATGCTGCTTGGTGGTACAGTAACTGTCATTTCAGGTAAGTGAACTAGTAAATTCTAGGCGGAAAATTCAGACATAAAATTGTTGTTCTTCTTTTTCTTCTCTTCCATAGTAACCTAAACGGCAAATATTTAAAGGGAACAACCACAGACTATGCTAAAGGAGTTGTTTGGCATGCCTACCGAGGTTATTATTATTCATTGAAATTTGTTGAGATGTACATACGTCCAAAATGATTTGGGTTTAATTTATAGAATCTCGTATTTAATAGTATTCTACTTATTTGCGTATTAAGTTCCGTCATGTAGTTCATCGAAAAATCAATCAAGACTCTGGTTATGAATTCTAAATAAGATTAAAATTTTAAGGCGATTTACACATGTTCGATGGCAGTATTACCTTTAGCTTTGTAGGGGCTTGAAATGGCCTTGGTAAAATTAAATAAATAATTTCATTTGCCAATTCGGGATCCAAATTTTTGTCACAATCACATTATATTGCAATATAGGTATATATATTTAACAAGTAAAAAAGCTGTTAGTTCGGCCGGGCCGAACTTTGAATACCCTCCACCATCCAATTTAGCAATTTTCAAATAAATAAAATCCGTTAAAAATTCTGTTAAAATCTTAAAAATACCGAAAGTAGCCGTATATTAGGGTCTATACGACCACGTGGACTTGCATAAGCAACTTTTGTCATAAGCTATTACAATATTCAAATGCGAAACTTGAAAAAAAAAACTGTTTATAATGTAGTTAAAATCATCAAAATACCGAATATAGGAAAGTAAAATGGGTTTTATAAAATGTGGACCTGCACAGACAATTTTCTGCCATAGGCTGTAGTGTCCATTAGGAACTTCAAATACAAAATTTGAAATAATTCCGGTAAATAATGTGCTAAAATCATCAAAATACCGAATATCGGGGGTACCGGTATATGGGGGCTTTACAAAGACTTGGACCGGCACACACAATTTTCTGTCTTATGCCGTAGTATTCATTACGAACTTCAAATACCGGTAAATAATGTCGCTAAAAGAATCAAAATACCGAATATCGGGAGGTATCGTTATTTGGGAGCTATACGAAGACGTGGACCGATATGGCTCTTTTTTAATACCAAAAGTTCTGCAGACATAATACACATTAGAGTAAATTATTATGAACTTACTTCATTTCGTTCGGAAGCTAGAGTTATTTCAACAGACGTACAGATGGACATTGCTATATCGACATCGAGGGAATAAAAACATACACACACAGTAATTTTTTTTGGCGTAGAATACACGAGAAATCTTCGGCCGAAGTAAGCGGTTTTCGAAGGTTTGACTGTTATCAGGCATTACGATGTAGGTGTTCGACTGATGTGGGATGTTGGCGATTTTGGATGTAATCGGGAACGTGAAGTCATCGGGTGTCGACGGATTGAATATAGTCGGGAATTATGATGTAGTATCATTAACGTTCGGAATGGTGCAGGTCTTCTGAGGTAGATTTGTGAATTGTGGTCTAGATGCTAGCAGTTCACTGTGGAGATACTCGGGAACAGCTCTTCGTAGAGGGATTGAGATATGTTTGGGTTTGAATGTAGGTGTGGCATCTTAAGTCTAGGGCTTTGTAGATGTATAGGGCCTCCTTCGGTTTCGTTAGCTCGTTGAGGGTAGGATTTGTAATCGATGTCTAAGTCTTTGTAGATGGATCGGAACTCGTACGGTTTCATCGCTCGTTGAGAGCAGGTTCGGAAACCGATGTCTAGGTCTTAGTAGATGGATCGGAACTCGTCCACTTTCGGCAGCTCACTGTGGGTATGTTCGGGTCTTCTACAATGGTTAGGTAACTACTCCAGCTAACGCTACGCTGTATAACTAGCTCTAAGAGTACTTCACTACCAATGTTTGACTATGATACAGAACAGTGAGCCTAAGCTCCTGCTTAACAGCGAAAATTCTGCGGAACAGTGAATTACCGGCCACCCAACATAATAAGGGCCACTTTTGGAAAAGGTATTCCCAATTATGTGTTACCCGTTTTCCCGATAGACCCATAGTTACTTTTAATTACCTTCATGGATTCATATTCTGAATCTATTTATTCATGTCCCTCCATCCGTCTGTCCATGTATTTCGATTGGGAGAAATTTTGTAAAGACTATTTTTTTTTTTAATTGGTAAACATCGATCCAGATTTAGATACAGCTCTCTTATTTATATTCACCCGATTTCAGGTTTATTACGCAAGATATCCCAAAATTTGATAAATATAAGCACATACGAGCTAACTTAGCCTATAAGTATGCGATCTAAATTTAGCCTAAGGTGAAAATCGTTTCGGACGTAGCTAAAGCTCCCATATATATGTTTAATCAAATTTTATATTCAAGTCTTTCATATCTATAATATTTACTCCATAACAATAATATTCGATACAAGGTATCAGACACAGCAGAGAAATACCCTCAACAATCGGTTCAGATTTTGAACATATATTCGCTCTATTTGAAATATATTGTTCGCCAAATGTGTAATATCAGCCCAAATGTGACGCATTTAAGCAATAACTGCCGAATTCGGCCTACAATCGAGTGTATTGAATTTGGAGAAAATCGGTTATGATGTAGCTGTATATATGGGAGATATAGGTTTAATTCAATTTTATATCTAAGTACCCAAAATCCGTATTCAAAACTCCATAGCAAGAATTTTGGGTACAAGATATGAGGTACATGCTAAAAATACTTTTGTCAAATTTTGTCGATTCAAAATATATTCCCTCTTTTAACCTGACTTCACAACCCAGGGTGTTATGTGTTTGTGCATTTGTGTTAGAGTTAGACCCATATTTCCTTTTGATGATCTGTAAAGAATCACTTTCTGAGTCGATTTATGCATGTCCTTCCATCTGTCAATGTAAACAAAGTATAGGTTGCATTTATTGCCCGATCAAAATGAAACTTTGCACAAAATATTTGTTTGGTCCAAGGACAAACCTTATTGAAATTGGAGATAATCGGTCAAAATTTATATATAGCTCCCATATATCTTCGCAGATTTGCCTCTTATTTTGCACCAAATGTGTAATATTAGTCATAATAGGATGAGATTTGCAAATATAATCGGTTCTGATATAGCTATAGCATCCATATTTATTCTTCATCCGATTTGCTAAATTTCTCCTCTACAGCCGTAATATGCTCTCCGTAACAACGACATTCGGAGAAATGTATCAAATACAGCTCAGAAATACTTTTGTCTAATTTTATGGAGATCGGTTCAGATTTGGATATAGCTCCCATTTATATATTTAGTCGATTTCAAGTTTATTGGGCCCCAAATAAATAAGCCCGAATTGAATGGATTTTTGCACATACCAAGGAAATAAGCTTGGAATAATGTGTATCAAATTTGTTAAAAAATCGGTTGGGATTTTATTCTCTCACATCCGTAATATACTCTTCACAACAATGATATTTGCTTATTGCCTAAAAAGTGTAATATCAACTCAAGTAGGATGGATTTTGATGAATATTGGTTCAGACACAAATGTCTACTTCAAATTTAGTAGAATTCGATAGAAGCCTGCGATTTATCGACACAGCCTGACTTAGGCCTTTCTTACTGGTTATTTTTTACTTCGTTTAAACGTTTTGCCTGACCTCAACTTTTCTGTTATTATCACGCTATAGTCGAAACGAATTAAAATGGTAAACTAAAATTTTGCACAAATCTATCTGTTGTTCGAAGTTCGAATAAGAAGATATAACGGTACCTCCCGATATTGGGCGTTTTAGTGATTGTAGCCACATTTTCCAATGGAATGGTTTGAAATTTTGCACTCAAAGTTATTTTCAGGCACTTTACCCCCTGAAAGAGAATGATCTATAAAGGTCCATGAAATCGTATAGCCCCAATATAACGGTGCCTCTCGATATTTGGTATTTTGATGATTTTATCCACATTTTTCGATGGATTTGTCTGAGATCCTATTTGTGAAGTTCTTAATAGGCACTTATGAATCTGACAAAAAACTGTTTAAATGGGCTTACGATTGCCTATAGCCTCCATATAAAATTACCTCCAGCTATTGCGTATTTTATGATTTTAGTCAAATCTTTTTTATGGAATTGTCTTCTCCTAGCCGAAAATTGTCTATATAGGTCCACGTATTACCTCATCTCTATGTAATAAGCGCAAAATTCTAAGGCGACTAAGCCCTATCCAGAATAGGAAGGAAAATTTTAGACAGATCGTACAGCCCCCATATAACGGTACCTTTCAATAGTTGATGATTTTAGCCATATGTTTTAATTCATTTGTCTAGAACCCGATATGCGAAGTTCTTGTTAGGTACTTGCGAATCCGACAAAAGAAATTGTGTAAATGTGGCATACTATTGCATATAGCCGCCATATAAAATTACAATTAGATAATCGACATTTTTATACCCTCCACCATTCTATGGAGGGTGCACTAACTTTGTCATTCCGTTTGTAACTCTTCGAAATACTCATGTCAGACCCAACAAAGTATATATATTCTTGATCAACGTTAAATTATAAGTCGATTCAGCGATGTCCGTCTGTCTATCTGTCTGTTGTAATCACGCTATCTTTCGAACGAATTGAGATAGAAGGCTAAAATTTTGCACACATGTTTATTTTGCCAGTAGGCAGGTTAAGTTCGTAAATGGGTTATGTAGGTCCACGTTTTCATATGGCCCCCATATAACGGTACCTCCCGATATTCGGTATTTTGATGGTTTTTAGCGACATTATTCACCGGAATTGTTTCAAATTTGGTATTTGAAGTTCGTAATAGATTCTTCAGCTTATGACAGAAAATTGTCTGTGCAGGTCCACGTCTTCGTATGGCCCCCTATAACGGCACCTCCCAATATTCGGTATTTTGAAGATGCTACATTATACCCGTTTATAACAAGGTAATGACTTTTAGCAAACAATGCCTATGTAGGTCCACGTCGTATAGACCCCAATATAATGGCTATATTCGGTATATTTTTAGATTTTAACAGCATTTTAAAGGAAGTTTTTTTTTGGAAAATTTCCAAATTCGTTCCAAATGGTGGAGGATATCAAAGCTCGGCCGAATCTAATGCTTTTTATTTTGTTATATTTTATTTTATCACTATTTTTTTGAGAATTGTGTTTCCACAGCCGAATAAATTCTTTAGATAGGTCCCTTATTACCTAATTTCTATATTATAGTACTTCCTCGGCATGTTGTTGAATTTAGTCCGATATTTCACTGGTTGCGAAAAAAACATAATAATAGC